AAACTTGATCCCCGATGGAACAGTGTTGGGAGGTGGGGTCTGATGGGAGCTGTTTAGATCGTGAGGGCTCCACCTTCACAAATGGATTAATGCTGATTATAAAAGGTCTCGAGGCCGTACATTCAGTCTCTTGTGCTCTCTTGCCCTTTTGCCTTCTGCCGTAAGATGACACAGTGACAAGGCCGTCGCCAGATGCAGGCCCCTTGACCTTGGACGTCCCAGCATCTAGAACTGTAAGAAATAAATCTCTGTTCTTTATAAATTACCCAGCCTCAGGTATTCTGTTACAGCAACACGAAACAGACTACGATAATGCCCAAGGCCAAATGCATGATGGTCTTCCCCGAAGTTGGTCCTCTTCCTGTGCCCCTAAGCCAATGGCATGGTCACCCAGGCAGGTATGTGAGACAGAAGCCCAAGCGTCATCCTTGGCCCCTCTCCCGTACCCAGCCCACATGAGGGGCTGACAGTCCTACCCACCGCACGCACATGGACTCCGGCCCTGCTGCACAGCACCCTCTCCCTAAAGTCTCCTTCCTAGGGACAACCTCTTCACTGGTCTCTCTGCATCCACCCTCACTCTTCAATGTCCCCCCTGCCAATCCACTCCCATCCATCCAGAGGAATCCTGGTAATAAGTAAATCTTATCATGCCAGTCCCTTGCCCAACACCCTTCCTTGGCTTGCCATTAGTCTTAGAGGCCAAAACCCTCAATGGAGTCTCCTCCGCCCTGGGCACTCAGCATGTGTTTTCAGGGCTTGAGAGGGTGGTGGGGTGGGGGTCTTCCTGGACTTGTCCTGGCTCACTTGCTGGCCTTGGAGGAGTGGAGAGAGAAATATGGGGGTACTGGCGACTGGACCTAGCAAAGCCCCAACTGGGGGACGCCGGGAGCTGCCAGGGTGGGAACGAGGAAGCCGGGAGGGAAACGAGTCCAGAGAAGCAGAAGTCAGCAGCATCCCGCACCAAGGTCCTCCCTCAGGCCACCTAATTGCCTTTTAATTGGTGCTTAATGGAAGTGAATTAAACCCAATTGAGTTTTAAAGTGTCTGTTCCAGTGCCAGCCTCAACATGCTTCCCTTCTCGAGGGGCTGGGACTGCAGCTGGGAGGGAAGAAGACAGGCTGTGGGGGCAGGGGGCATGCTTCTCCCCAGCCCTGCTGCAGTGGGCCTGACCCCAGCCCAAAGGTCTCAGGACCTTCTCCGGCTTCCCCAGCACCCCCTCCCTGCCCACCTGTACCCTCAGAATATCTAGATTCCAGGAACACTGACTTAGGACCCCCTTCGTGCTGGCGCTGTGCGGGAACTCTCCCTACGTCACCTCCCCTGAACACTCTCCATGACCCAGCAAGGCAGGTCACAGTGATGTACCCCCTTTCCGCAGAGGGCACTGATTGACTTGTCCTGGCTCGCTGCTGCTGTTCCGCCTAGTGCTGTGCTGTCCAGCAAGGCGCGTACTGAGCACATGGAACGTGGCAAGACTGAACCGAGACGTGCTGTCCGTGTAAAATACACGCTAGATTTCAAAGACTTAGTACGAAAAAAGAATGTAAAATATCTCGGTAGTTTTTCATATTGATTATATGTTGAAATGATCATTTTTTAGTAATATTGGGCTAAATATATTATTAAAATTAATTTCACCTTTTTAAGCTTGTAAAAAATGGCTACTAGAAAAATTGTAAATTACACATGTAGTTTGCATTGTATTTTTATTGTATGCCCCCCCAGGAGTCTTCCCCCAGGGTCTGGTCCCATGAAGGTGGGGAAGGTCTGCTCACTCATGACCCCGCCATGGTCTGGAAGGCAAGGCAAGACTGCAGCTGAGCTTGGGTGGGCTTCAGTCTTGTCTTCTCATCTTTTGGGAGAAGACAAGTCCCTTTCAGCACCCTGGACAGCAGCCAGGGTGGGCTTCCCTCTTGGGGTCCTCGGATGGCCTGAGGCCCAGGAAGGAACACCCTTGGGAGGAGTAGATGACTCTTACAAAAATGCCCCTCATGAATCCTCTCGAGTCATGCTCCAGATGCCCAGTGAGGAAGACCAGGTAGGGATTATCATTAACCCATTTTGCAGATGAGAAAACCAATGCTCAGAGATTTGTGCGTTCCATCCTTGACCAATAAGGACCCACTGATGCCTGTTTCATGTGGGCCTCAGCTGAGTGCACAAACCCAAATGAGGCTGACACTGGTGATGGCAATTCTGTGTGATCAGTGCAGTAGTGACAGTGTGTGCCAAGGGGTATGGGGGCCCAGTGAGTGCTGCCTGCAGGGCCAGAAAGTTCAGGGACAGCATCACAGAGGGGCTACTTGGGCTGGCTCTGCAAGGATGAAGGAGAGTTTGCCTGTGTGAGCAGGAGGGAGTTCCAGGCAGAAGGAACGGTGCGTGCACAGGCGTGGGAGTGAGAGGGACGGGCCAGGAGCGGGAGGCGCGGGCCACGTCGCCAAGGGCCTTGCATTCTGGGCTAATTCTAGGACCCACAGAAGGTGCCTAAGGAGGGCAGTGGCCTGGAGCCAGAGAAAGTAAGAAGAGCAACAAGGTGAGAAACTTGAGTCCAGGAAAGAAATGACATGTTAGATATTAGACCAAATGGAAGGGCCATCAGGCCAACCCACTTTACAGATATAGAAACCCAAGTCAGACCGGGTCCTGTGACCTGTCCAAGGTCACACGGTAAGTCAGTGCCTGGGGTAACAAAGACTGAGGAGTGGCGAGGGGCACAGCCCCCACCCCAGGAAAGCTAAGTGGTGGGTCTCAAAGCTGTCAGGAGCCTCTGCTGGCAGCTGTGGTTGCTGTTTGAACAGAATCAACAAGATGGAAACACTAAACTTCCTCCGCAAACCAGATGCAAAGCAAGAGACGACAAGAGGGGAGGCACACGCAAGTCACACCTCGGCCCAGGGAGCCCCAGAGGTGGAGGCCACTGGAGCCCAGGGCCGGGAAGGAGAGAGGCAGGAGCACAGGGAAAGGCAGGTGGCCCAGGATGTGGGGTATAGTATGCTGGCACAAGGTCAGGGACGGAGGCTTTGTTTGTGTGAACCCCCTCCTAGGAACAGGCCCCCCTTTTTTGGAGACCTGTTCCCTCTCCCTCTCCCCTGTGAGTCCTGCAGAGACTGCCGATCACAGTGCCCAACCCCTCTGCCTGGGGCTGATCAGAGCTGTTCCGTCCTTGGGGGTTTTCTAATTAGAATTCAGGAAAGATGTTTCTTCCCCTCTAGGGGCAAAGTTGAGTGATGGGAGCTGCTAAGACAAAGCCCAGCGGGCCCAGGGGGATGGGGAAGCCTGCCTGAAAGAACGAAGCCGACACACATGGCAGAGCAAGCCGGAACATCTAGTGGCACTCTGACCCTGGTGTCCCATCACCCAAGGCCGGCCACACACACCCACCACTGTCCTCGCCACAGCGTGCTCTCATGGGCGAACAAAGCTCCCTTGTGCCTAAGCTGGCTGGTACTGGACTCTGCCACTCCCAGCCACAAGCCCCAATATAGTCACTTACAAGCTGTGGGAGCTTGGGAAAGTCGTGGCCCCTCTCTGAGCCTTGATTTCCTCATCTGTAAAATGGGCGAGTCACAATACCTACCTTGAAGAATCAGTTGAGGTGGTGTCTGCTGAAGCGCCAGGGCTGTGGGGATGGGGTTGGGGGAGGGAGGCAGAGGAGTCCTCAGAGCTCCGAGAGCCTGGGAGCACAATCCTGAGTGGACTCTGCCCACACGCCTCCTCTGACAGGCCTCTCAGCAGGCAGGATTCGAATGAGACCGAGAGGAAGCCTGTGCTACCAAGGCCTGCCCAGCTCTGAAGGGGCCGCCACCCCTCGTCCAGCCCTCTCAGGGAGGCCTTCAGTCCCTTCTTCCACCACCCGCGCCCAGACTGCTCCAGCACCTGCCCTTCCCTCAGCCCTCCAAGGGCCTGGATTCGTGTCCCAGAGTCCCTGGAAAGGAGCCCAGGGGTACCCATATTGCTAAATGACCAGGTGAGCAGGGACCTGTGGCCCTGCTCCAGTTGCTGCCTGACCACAGAAGAGCCACAGGGCACACTGCAAGACATTTCCACATGCTGACCCTGTGCCCAGAACTGAGCAGGGATCCGCTCACTCGGGTGTGCAAAGAACTCAACCCGGCACGAGTCTCCAGCCCCTGCCCCCCGGCACCACGCCAGCCCGGCTCCTCCACCCCACACGCACCTGGAGCCCTGGCCCAGCCCGACACCCAAGTCTGCACCACGACCCAGCTCCCTGCGGCCGTGAAGGTCAAGTCCAAATAGAGCTGCGTTGAAGCTCCACCTCCACCAAGCCTGGGTTTAAAGTCCCAGCTCTGCCTCTGACTGTGGCCTCAAGCAAGGCGATCTCCACGTCCAGCCTCATTTTCCTAGCCACAAAACAGGCAACCTAAAACCTTCCAACAAGGTGGCTGTGAGGGGCCAGGGGCGTGTGTCTGAAGCTCCCAGCACAGGGCGTGGCCTGAGACCAGGTGCTAGGTGATAACGGCTAATCCTTAAACGGCTTATCCAGTGCCAGGTGCCTGCTCAGTGCTGCGCATATGCGGATCTGTCTCATCCTCGTGTCAACCCCGTGAGGTGGGCGCTATTACCATTCCCATTTCACAGAGGGGGATGTGGCCCCCACGCCCCAGTGAACGGCAGCCGTGACCACCACTGCCACAGGGGAAGGCCAGCCACAAGAGGTCCCATCCCACATTCCCAATGTGCTTACCCCCACCCAGGCTGGGGAAGGGACGTGTGCAAGGTCACCCAGGGAGTCAGGGACAGAGGAGTCAGAACCCGGGCAGCCCCGTCCCAGTCAGGGCCGGCCTGACCCCACCACACAATCTGACAAGGCCAAGCCAGGTGAACCAAGATGGCGGAACAAAGCCGGAGTCCCAGGCCTGGGCCTTCACCTGGGGGAAGTAAACAGCTCAGCAGCAAAGTCCACAGAGTGAAGTTTATTCCCAAGAAAGTTCCCCTCCCCCCTCCCCAGCCAGGGACAGGGACAGACAGGCTGGGGTGAAGATGGGGCTCCCGTGGCTGAGGGGCCTCTGAGGAACAACGAAGGGGCCTGGACCCCCAGGCCACGCCGTGTCTGGCTCCCCCAGCCTGGCAGAGTCCACGGCGCCTCCCTGCCCAGCCCTCAGGAGAGGGGAGGGGGCGCTGGCTCCTGGGTGGTTCCAAAGTGGAGTGTGAAAATAGAGAGATATATATATTTATATGCAGTGGGCAGTCCAGCGTGGCACTCACACCTCGGTCTGGAAGTCGCCATCTGGTGGTTCTGTGGGCTCCCAGGCTGTGGCCCGGTGCAGAGCCAGCCGCTCTCGGGGCTTAGGGGGCAGTGAGCCCAGTGTCATAGATTTGAAAGTGCTCCAGCTCTGATGTCGCCGATGTTGGGTCATGCCAGGACGCTCCCCAGGGCTGGGCTTCTCCTGCGGAGGGAGCAGGAAGAGCCCATGGAGATGGGCCAACACCCTCTCACCCATTGTACGGAACAACAGACTGAGGCCCACAGAAGGCCAGTAATGCCCAAAGCTACAGAGCAATCAGGTGTCAAAGCAGCATTCAGACACAGATCTGCCAGGCTCCGGAGCAGGCTCCCGTGCTAAGCGGCCCCTGGGGCATGTCTCCTGCCTGCCCGCCCTCCCTCTGGACCCTGGTGGACTCTCTGCGGCGGCTTCCCCACCCACTGAGCAGCCCCAGAACTGCTGCCATGCTGTGGGGTAGGCCCTTGGAGAGAGGCAGGCTGAGGTTGCCCGGGCAGGGGAGGAGGGCAGGGAGGGAGTGAGTCCCTCGGAGCCCACCTCACCCCACCCGGCCCAGGGGGACTTACGCTGCACACGCTTCGTTCGGCCGCCCCACCCGAGGACACACTCCACCGCTTCTCCCTCTGCAATGGGGGCCATGGGTCAGGGTCCAACCCCAGGGGCCACTGCACCAGGTCAGGCCCTGAGCTTCGGGACAGCGGCAGCCATGGGAGGAGCCCTCACCTTGGCCGTGGACTGGCTGCGGTAGCGGTCGAAAGTGTGGAACTTCTGGTTGAGCTCGTGGTAGAGTTCTGAGTGCCGTTTCCGGGTGTGCATCACCTTCTAGGAGCCACAGGGCGTCAGAGCGAACCCCCCTGCCCCAGGCACTCAGCACCCCGGGCCCCCCACATCCCTGCCTGCTGCCGGCCCCTCTGGGACGAGACCGGGCTCTCTCTGCACCTCAGAGCTGAGGGCTTGGGCGAGGGGGAGCAGTGGCAAGATCCCACTGACCCACAGGCGTGGGGTCCTGGGGTCAGGCTCTGCAACAGGGCATGCGCTACTTTTAGGAGGGGCCCCTCCAGGGACAGACGCCACAGACAGATGCCCCACTCCCCACCACACACAGCACTTACCTCAAAGTCCAGGTCTGAATACCGTAACTTCTTTCGCTGACGGAGCAACAGGGAGGCAGTGAAGGAGAAGAAAGCTTTTTACCACATGCGGGGGTTTTAGAGACAGGACACCTTGTACCCCAACCCAGGCCCGGGGGTTGGGAATCCTCCTGGGGCAGCTTTGCAGGCCTCACTGCATGCACGCTGACGCACACACACGGGTCAAATGTCACGGGGCAGACCTCCATCGTGGCAGGGACATGGGTTCCCACATGGAGTCACAGAACCAGGCCCCGCATTCCACGCCCCGTCCTGCCAGCCCCCTTCTCTCTAACAGGCACAGCCTCCCCTCCCTGGAACCCTCCACTGGTCCTGCAAACGCAGGGATTAAGGCTTTCGGAAACCGTCCTACGACCCCGCCTTGCCCCTTTTCCTGCCAGACCAGGCCCTGCCTCCCAGGGCTCTCTGCCCTTCCTGCCTCTCCTGGCTCTCGTGTGCCCCAGGCCACCTTCAAGGCCCCAGCAAGCTTAGGCAGCACCTAGTGGCACTCGAGGAGAAGCCTGAGGGTCTTAGGATATTGGCACCCGGAAGATTATGAGACCGAGGCCAACTTTCCCAGGTTACGATGGGGAAACTGAGACCCAGGGAGAGGAAGCGACTTGCCCCGTGGCCCTCACAGGAGATGCTAAGACCACAATCTGGGTCTCCCAAGTCCCAGGCATGGTGGGCACACTCACCCCACCGGCCCACGACACCCTTCCCTGGCTTTTGCTGTTCGCTCGATCCCCGCTGCCCTCCTGGCTTCTCTAACACCAGGCCCTCACGCTGCCCCCTGGCACCGTCTCCTGCGCCTCCCCACGCACACGTGTGTCCTCCCCCTCCCCACCCACACCCCTCTTCCTGGAGGCAGCAGGACCCCTCTCCCTGCCCGAAGCCCCACAGGCACCGCACACACAGCTCGCGCCCAACCAATCACCCTGAATTCCGCACCCAAGCTTGCACCACCACCCCAACACGGTTGCCCCCCTAGAATTCTGGATGTCATCCCTGACCCCTCAAAACGCCACCACGCTTACTGCGACATCCCCCATGAGGAGCCCAATGCCGGCCCCTCCGCAGTGGCCCAAGAGGCAGGTGTCCACAGAACAAAACCTGCCAGGACACTGTGCGCACCCTTCTCCAATGCCCGAGCATTTTGTCTTTGTTACGCCTTCCTGTTCTGCCATCCGCGGGCACCAAATGTTCAAGACCCATTTTGGGAGAAAAACTAAACTTACAAGGCCTCCAGCTGCTAACTTAATTTTCTTTGTGTGGAGGACAGGGAGCAGGTTTCTCGGACCGAACATGAGCAGCCAATCATGTCTCAGCCATGACGCCTGCCCCTTTCCTTATCCACATAGCCTTCATCCCTCCAACTAGAGTTCTAGAATGTTCTAGAGTTCTACGGTGGGCCATAACCACCTGCTTGTTCCCAGTGATCCTGTGCAGGGAGGAAGCTTTAGGAGGCCAGAGGGAAGGTGAAGCACCCACTGAAGGCACGCGGGCAGGACCCAGAAGGGCCTGTTTTCTCAGGAAGAGAAGGTCGGTCACCACAGGCCTAGGGGCAGCACCTGGGCTCATTTCAGGGATGATAACAGCAGCTATTTCCAACTACCTGGCGCTTCCTCCTATCTCCACACAGAGATAAATGCTTTATGTCACTCAATCCGTCCTCAAAACAACAAAAAATCGGCCAGCCGCGGTGCCTCTCGTCCATAATCCTAGCACTCCGGGAGGCTAAGGCAGGAGGATCACTTGAGGCCAGGAGTTTGAGACCAGCCTGAGCAAAAGTGAGACCCCATCTCTACTAAAACTAGAAAAAATTAGCCGGGCGTGGTGGCATGCGCCTGTAGTCCTAGCTACTCAGGAGGCTGAGGCTACGGTGACACCACTGCACTCTACCCAGGGCAACAGAATAAGACTCTGTCTCAAAGAAAAAAAAAACCTACAAAAAGACAACTACATTATCTGCACTTTACACTGAGGAAACGGAGTCCACACTGGACCCCAGATCTGCGGGCCGTGCAGACCCCGGCTCAGCCCCTCATGCGGCTTCCCTGACAACGCGGTGCCTTGCCCAAGCCACGTCTCCTAAAAGGACTCATCTTGACCAGCCACCGCGAAGCAGGCACTCGAGCGAGTGTGAGTGGAGAGCTGCACGCTCAGCGCGTGAGTCCAGGCTCACGGGAGGAATTCAGAGACACGGGGATTCCTCGGAGCGGCCGTGAGCACAGAGGGCGAAACGCACAGTGTGCGCACTAACGAAGGTGCTGCTCTGTCTGGGGAGGTTGGTGGCTGTGCCCTCCCAGCTGCAGCCTGTGATTCAGACAGTCTCAGGCACACAGCAGGCAGACCACCCCCTGCCCCACACCCCACAGCCCCTCACCTCCAGGGAGCCCAGCTTCATGGTAGAGCCGGGCACCGTGCGGGGCATGGTCCGGCTGCGCTCCCCCGGCTCAGGCACTTGGCGGGCGCTGGGTGTCGGCGGTGGCGGTTGGAAGGTCATCCCATAGGGGTTCTGTAGCGATCCATAGGCAGGGCCCAGCCCCAGGCCCGAGTGCTCCACGGACAGGAAGCTGGGGTAGCCTTCAGGGTGGGCCAGTGTCTTGGCAGCCCGCCGAGGGGTCCCCTCAGGCCGGGCCCTTGGGGCATCCTCACCCCCTCCGCCCCCACCGCCAGGCTGCAGGCTCAAAGTCCGCCGGGGCAGCACCATGTAGTCCCCCTCGGAGCCCGGCTCGGTGGGCCGCAGCCATGTGAGGTCCAGCTGCCGGAGGCCGCCCTCCCCACACATGTACACGGGGTTGGCCTCCTGAGGGGGCGGCGGCTCCCCCAGCCCTGGCGAGGCTGCCATGGGCACCAGGATGTTCCCAGGCAGCGGCGAGAAGCTGAGGCCGCCCTCAGGACCCACGAGGCAGGACTTGGGCTCCTCGTCCTCGTCCAGGGACAGGCGGGAGAGTGTGCCCGTGATGGTGGACGGGTTGCAAGTGTTGACCTCCTTGAACAGAACTGGGGGCAGGAGTGGGAGGGAGGGGGTGAGTCCTGAGGAGGAGGAGCCCCCACAGGCCCTTGCCCAGGCTGGGTAGGTACCAAGCCCCTGAGCTCGGACAGGAAAGGAAACTGGGTCCTGGAGAGATGGCTGGCGGCTGGTACTTTCCCACACACGAGAGGGGTTAATAAAGACCACAGTGAGGCAGGGCAAGAAACAGAGGCAAGGCTCAGCTCCCTGGGTCCTGGTGCAGGTCCTGACCTCTGACCCCACAGCCCCAAGGCTGTCAACAGGCCCTGCTCCTCCCCTTCCCTGGGTAGCACCTCCCTAGGGGACAGAACTAGAAAGAGATTCTGGTAACAACGTACGTAACAGCCACTATGTGCCCAGGGTCCTAAGTACCTGATGTCCCCTGATTCATGTGAGCCCCTAAGCCTTCCACCTGCCCTGGGAGGACAGTATTCTCTCCTCTACAGGTGTGTCAACTGAGGCTCAGCGAGGTAAGCTGTCTGCCCAGTGTCGTACAGTGAGCAGCATGCGCAGCCTTGGGTCCAACTCAGGGCTGTGCGACTCCACAGCTGTACGCCAGCAGCCAGACACCCCGCTGAAGGGCCTCCCCTCTTGCCCACCCTGGGCCAAGCTCAGCTCTGCCCCAGCAGCTCACCTGTTTGACAAGCCAGATCCACGTCCTTTTCAAAGTCTGACTATAGGCGGAGAGGGAGAGAGCAGGAGGGCAGAGGGGGGATCGATGTATCAGGGTGGGAGGGGGCCCAAGCCCCTCCCTACCCAGCTCTGCTCACTCTGCTGCCAGAGGTGCTGCCCCCAGCACACTGCCCAGCAAAGCCCGGACACGGTCTGCTCCACTCCCACCTGCCAGGTGGGGAAACTGAATGGGGGAAGAGTGTGCCCAATGCCACCCAGGTGTTGGTGGCTGAGCGTGAATCAAAGCCAGTCTCTGGCCCCTCCCTGCCATGGATGGGGAAGGTGAGTGGCCTCCTAGGACGGGAGGACCAGGGGGCACCCAGAATCCACCTGTGCCCTGCCCAGGCCTCCTCACTCACCAGGATCTGCAGCTGCCCATTCTTGCACGAGTCGGGGGAGTCTTCGCTCTCATCGGCCCGACATACGCCCATCTGGCACTTCACCACATCCTGGACCTGGGGGCAGAGGGCACCTGCTGGACCCGGAGCCACCACAGGGCCCCTGACCACAGCTGGCTGTGCCTCCCACCCTAGACACCCCGGTAGGTGTGGAAGGAAAGAAGCGCATCCAGCCCAGGGGACGGTGATGATGCCCAGGCTGGGTCAGAGGGGAAGGAAGGAGCCCCAGGAGGCCAAGGCCAAAGCTGGGGTACAGTTGTGCCCAGCTGGGACCTGAAGCACCCTGGTCAGGGCCTCAGTTCTCTCCACGGTGAGAGGAGCCAGAGGCCTGGCAGGGTGTGGTGGGCAGGCAGGGAGGGAGCGGCCCGGCCCACCTCTCGGCGCAGGAAGCAGTGCACAGCGGTGATGACAAAGCCCTGCGCAGAGTTGAAGACAGCAAAGAGGGCCTGGAAGAGGACGGAGCGGCGGTCTGTCATGGCCAGGACAGCAGACATCCAGGTGAGCGCCAGCAGGGGCAGCACCACGCAGGAGCTCCAGAGTGAGGCCCTGAGGGGGACAGCGGCAGAGGGTCCCTCAGGGTGACACTCCAGGGGACAGGGCACCCTGTGCCTCTACTCAGCTTGGGGCCCTTCAGCTACCCAAGACCAGGAGGGCCCCGAACCCCAGGACCTCAGCAATGTCCCCAGGCAGAGAGGGGCTGAGGAGCCAGAGCCAGAGAGACAGAGAACAGAGACAGAGAGCAGAGAAGGGTGGCGCCAGAGCAGGGACCAGGAGCAGGGGAGGGGGACACGAACACAGTGAGACTAGCCAGAGACAACGGCCACATCCGGACAGAGACAGAGAAGGTGGAAAGGGACACTGGGAGCGGAGAGGAGTAGACAGAGGCAGATGCCGTGAGTGTCAGCCCCAGTTTGCACAGAATCACCTGGGGAGCGTTTAAAGAATGCACAGGCCGGGCTGAGCCCCAGCGCCTAACTGGGTAGGCTGCGGAGGGGAGGAAGAGGGACACAGAGACAACAGCCACACTGAGAGAGCACGAGACAGACAGACACACCCAGACAGAAAGATTAAACAAGCAGAGCACGCAAGGGATCACAGAGCACAGATTCTTGGGGAGAAGATGGGGGGAGGGTGCCAGGACCAGTGAAGCAGAGGCTCTTTCCCCCCAGGTCCCCACGGAGGACGTGTCAGGCTCCCAGTGGCTGCTCAGAGCCCTGGCAAAAGGATCATAGCTGGGGCCAAAAGCTGGGGTCATGGCCAAACCTACACATCCCTGGCCTGCTTGCCAGGGGAGGGCAGAGAAAAAAGGCAGATGGGCCCCAGCATCCAGGCTGGTCCCACCCTTCCCCCACCTGCTCCCCTGCACAAGGGACCGCAGGGCAGCTCTGCCCTCCTGGGCCAGGTGCCACATCCAGCCCATTCTGCCTCACAAACACCCCCGGTGGGAGAGTCAGGCACAGCTACAGACAAGGCAGAGGGTGGCAGCATTCTGCAGGGACAGCGGGAGAGGCCAGGCAGAGAGATGGGCAGGGGGCCAAGACCTGTCCTAGGAAGAGTGGCTCGGGGCTGTTCAGCCTGGCAGGGGGGTGGACACAGTGGTCTCTGAAGCCCCCGGAGGCAGAGCCAAGACCAAGAGAGGGTCTAATCACAGTATAATCACAGTAATAAGAGCTACCATTGATTACCCACCAATTCTCTACCAGGCCCTACACTGAACACTTTACATACATTATTTCAAATCGTGATCAAAACAACTCTACTAAACAGGCGTGGGAGCAGGCATGGGATTATTATCCCAATTTACAGATGAGGAAACTGGAGTGTGCCCAGCTGGGCAGGGAGAGGCAGAGCTGGGACACAAACCCAGCTTGGCTGACTCGAGAGCCCAAGCTTTCAACTGCTGGGTCAGACAGGCAGATGGCAGCCCAAGCAAGAGGGAGCTTTGCAGGGGTGGTGCCAGCCACCTCCAGAGGTGGTGAGCTCCCTGACCTTGGAGGTATGCAAGATAAAGCTGGACCTTACTGGTCAGGGAGGCTCAGATGGATTTCCGGCCCTGGGTGTGCGGTTGGGCCTAAGGCCCTCGTGGATTTGTTCTACTCTTGCATAGCTGGGATTTTAAGATTCTCAACTGCGGGGGCAAGGGTTTCAGGGAAATAATTCTCTACCTCCATGATTCTCTGCCTCCAATTGATTGTGAGATTCAATGTCTCTAAAATGCTAAGTCTCGGATTCTATGACAGATGATAAGACTCTTATGATTCACTCATTCTAACATTCTTAGCTTCTGATTGTCTTATTCTAAGATCCTATCATTCTAATTCTAAGGTTCTATAGCTCAAAAATTCTAAGGGCCTACGATTCTATGAGCCTCAGTAGGTTGGGGGTATGGGGCCGTGCCAGTACAGAATATTAGCCGGAAGTGGGGGCAGGGCGGGAGCAAAGGGTGGGCGAAGGAACCCAGCACCTCCGCAAGGCACAGACATTCACTCCCCACTGCCCTCTGCCACCTTATCACCGGGCCCTGAGAGTGCATGGCAGTTGCGGGCCAGGGCAAACTTTCCAGGGCACTGGGCTGACATCCCTCCTCCCCCCACCATGGGCACTGCCCCCCCAATTCCTTTGCCCCACCCACCCCCACCGCCCCCCAGGGGGCACGACTAACATGGCGTTCCTGGCCGAGGCTGAGCTGAGCAGGGGGCTGGGGACCGCTCCACACGCTGAGCAGGGGAGGAGCAGGCTGGCCCAGGGGCACCGCTCCGACCTCGGGGGCGGCACAGACATGGGAGAAGGGGGGAAACACATGGGAAGCCGGGAGATGGGGCAGAGTGAGCCCCGAGTGGGGTGGGAGGGGGAGGGCAGACGAGAGAGAAAGAGCTGGGTTAGGGTGGGTGAGGGGCACCCCGGGTGCCCACCGTGCCTGCAACCTTGATGCACCAAGGTTGGGGAGCTCCGGTCACATCTTCGAGCCCTGAGTCTCCGAGAACACCCAAGGCCCCTCCTCCCTGCACCATTTCCAGAAGGCCGAGTGGCAGAGGCCCTCCCCTTACCCGGCCCTCTGCTTCTTGGATTTGTCGGAGATGCCATCACGTGCCATGAGCTTGTTGAAGACGATGATTCCGATGAGCATGTTCACCTGCGGGCCCAGTGGTGCGGAGGGGGGAAGACAGGGTCACCAGGTGCGCTCCTGGCAGGGAAACCCCCAGGTGGGAGCTAGAGTGCAGGGAGGCGGCGGAGGGATGGACAGGATGACCCTCTGGGGCCACGGCCCTCCCAGGACGCTGAAAGGGCACATACCAGGACTATGACAGCTGCAGGGCCCACAAAGGCGTAGAGCAGGCCGCCCTCCAGGGAGAGCCAGCAGCTGGGGTGAGCGGAGGAAAGGGGGGTCAGACACCCAGCAGGCTCCCTCACCACCCTCCAACCCCACCCCTCAGTACGCCCAGACTGCCGTGCCCACATCACCGATGGAGTCCAAGCCCAGACAGGGTGGGAGGGAGCCCCTGGCTCTTGGCTCTTGCTGAGCCTCAGTCTCCCCTCCAACAAAGGTCAAGAACATCAGGCCCAGCCTCTAGGGCTACCCTGGGGATGAAACAAGGCTGAGCCCTGAGCTAACAGGATATTCCAGCATATTCCTTAATAGGGAAACTAAGGCTCAGCAATGGGGAGGAATTTGCCCAAAGACCCTCAACAGGCGTGGGCCAGGATTTCAGCCTGAGAAGGCCTGATACCCAGTCCAGTTCCCTCACAGATCCACTGACCCCCACTGCCCACCACGGGAGGCCCACGTACTAGCTGGATGTACCGTATCCTTTGGTTCGGGTAAAGCCGACAGACACGGCCACCACCAGGGCAGGCAGACCTGGGGGAGTGGGGGCACCAGAGTGAGACGGCTGCTGGTCTTCAGGGCCCCCTCGATCTCCCAGACTCCCAGCCCAGCTGACCCGGCACCCAGAGAGCTGGGCCAGGGCCAAAGCTGAACCTCTCTTTGCCCCTGCCCGCCAAGGCCCAGCGGCAGAGTCCAGCACTGGCCCTGCTCACCCCAGCCCAGGCAGAGGAAGCGCTTGCGAACGAGGCGGGTGCGCATCCGCCCAATGACAGCCAGGTAGGACTGCCAGGCCTCGGTAAGCACCCAGCAAAAGGAGGAGAGAAAGAAGAAGTGCAGGAAGGCAGCCGTCATGGTGCATACGCCCTGCAGGGAGAGGGAACGGGAGGGAGGGGCCCTGAGCAGCCGCCAGGGTGGGAGGCGCCAGGCTTCCCACGCCCCGCTGCTGGGCGCTGCCACGGCCGCCCACCTGAGCCCCGCCCCCCACAGAGCCCTGCCAGGCACCCCCGCCTTCCTGCACCCACACACAGCACGACACAGGCCTGGTGACACACACACAGCACTCGGCATCCAGGGAGGCGGTGGGCAGGCCGCCCACGCACAGACGGGCTGGCAGGGAGCGGGACAGACAGGAGCACCTGCCACGTCACAGCGGGGCGGGCCTAGTGCCTGGCACGCACGGTGCTGGCACTGTGCAGAGAAGGCCGAGGGGGCACAGTCAGCACAGGTCACCCACAGGCAGGTGGCAAAGGAGGCCTTGCTCAGGCTCCCACATGCCTGCAGACAGGAGCAGGCCCAATGCCACCTGCCCAAACACGCGCACCCAGGCGCTCAGCTCACACACATGTTCACTGATGTATACAGACATTCCTCGCTCGAGTACACACCCCCCTCCAACGCCTTCACGTATGCTCACACACGCTATTTCACACACACCCTCACCCCCACGTGCAGCTCGGGTGTACACAGCCAGCACTGAAGGACATACCACACACAAACACACGTCCTGCCACCAGCAGACGCTCTCCGCCCTCTCCCCTTCTCTCCACTCTCACCCCTGGCACCCCCGGGAGCCTGCACCTGCCTTGCTCAGCACCCGGGACTGGCCCACGAGGATCAGGATGTTGGATGCCAGGATGGACAGGCAGAAGTTCAGCAGGATGATGGAGCGTTCAGACTTTATGAACCTGACAGGGCACAGCAGGCGGAGACAGAGGCGCTGGCTGCCCTGCCCAACCTGGTGTGGCCGGCCACCTCCCCCCACCCCGTCCCACGTCAAACCTACCTCCAGAAGGCGGCATAGATGGCGAGCAGGGTGAGCAGCGCCATGCAGGACACCGCGCAGCCGATCACCAGGGGCACCGAGGGGGAGCCCGCCAGCTCCAGGGTCTGGGGGAGGGGGCAGACATTCAATGGGTTACCGGGAGAGGGCAGCTTCAGGGCGCCCCGTAGGGCGACACCTTCTTGCTGTCGCACGCACGAGTGTGCAGAGCAGACCCAGTCACCCTCGTGGACACACACTTACACTCAGTCACCCACACTCTTCCACATACGACCAACACGTACACACGCAATCGGCCACTGCCACACACCCCAGGCACATGTCATCACTGTGAGCACCATCCAGGGCACAGACACCCATGTGCAGCCCCCCAGGTACACCTGCAGATGCACATTTGGGATCACCCAGGTGCCTGCCAACACTGTCACCAATGGCCACTGGCAGCCCAGGGGCCTCCTCCCTTGCCCAGCCCAGACACCTCCCTCCCACTCACCAGGTCCTTGGGTGGCTGGGCCAGCACAGCAAAGGTGGACAGGTGCTGGCACTGGCAGCGGGTGTGAGCTGCCTGGGTCTCCAGGGTCTGGCAGCTCTCAGTGTCCCAGTCCCCTGAGCTGGCATCTCTTGGGTGGGGAGAGATGAAGTGAGCACCAGCCCAGTTCTGCAGCCCCACCCCTGGTGCTGGCCACTGCCCCAGGACAGGATCCAGGGCAAGGCCACATCCACGAGGTGACAGCAGGGAGCCCCAGGATGTGCTCTGGACCTCATAGGCCACGGATGGCACCAAGGAACTCTCTTGCCTTCCAGGCAGGAGAACCCTTTCTGATGAGGGGTCACAGGGCTGTACCCTTCCTCACCCAGAGCTGCCACCCAACTCACGCTCTGGAGTAGTCCCAGCTGGCGCAGTGGGGATCCGTGGTGCCCTGGGAGCAGAAGACATGAGTGCAGCCTAGGGTGGAAGCTCACCACCCGTGACCTCTGTCCACGTCATGGGGGCCACGGCAGCTCCCGCAGGTCAGAGGTTCAGCCGCCACGAGGGACAGAGCACCTTCCCATCATCAGGACTTTGACTGCCCATGTTGGGGTTCACCCGGGGTCCCTGCCTGGGCCTCCACTCACATTGATGATGTAGGAGAGCTCCACTGTGATGAGGGGCTCAGCTGGAGGCTGGGTGGGGGGCCGCACTGTCACTGTCATCACTCGGGACGCAACGGCCAGCGGGGGCCTGGGGGACAGGTACTGAGGTCAGCTCCTGCCAGCAGGTGCCCAGGCCCAGTCAGAAACCCTGAAGTTGCTTTGGATGGGGGGGGGCGAGGGCTACTAGGAGGCAAAAGCCCAGAGGAGGGAGTAGCTCAGTGGGGCTCAGGGCTGTGGGTGAGGTCTGGAGCTCAGTCCACCACCCCCTGGATGCCGGCACAGCCTCTGGGAGTGGCACCGATGTCTTTGGGAAGCCCCTGTGTCCAGAGCCCAGCCAGGGGTCCCTGAGGGTGCAGGAGGCTGCAGAGAATCCCTCCACAGCCAGCACGAGGACCCTCAGCAGCCCCACGTACCCATCCCTGAGACTCACCTGGGGGGTGGCAGGATGAGGCCAAGGGTGCGGTAGAGCACAGCCCCGATCACAAAGTAGGAGGACTCATCTGGGTCTGCTGGGAGCAGGCGCTGGTGGGAGTGGCCTGGGCCAGGGGCCACCGTTCCTGGGCCCCTCCCCCTGCCAGTGCTGCCCGCGACAGTGGATGCAGCTGCCTTCCCAGGGGAGGAGAGGCTGAGCACCTCCTTGGGTAGGAAGAGGCGGTCCTCCGAGTGCCGCACCCAGTCCTTCATGCCCCGGCGGCCCCGCATGGGGAACGTGATGTCGCTGGACACGGCCGAGACAGGCTCGCGCTGAATGCTGATCACTGCAGCGGGAGGAGGGTGGGCAGACCGCACCAGAGACAGACAGAAGGATGGAGACAGAGGGGGACAGACCCAGGGGAAGAGAGAGACGTGGAGGACACACACCAGAGAAGGTAGACGCGGACACCGAGGTTGGTACAAGCCCAGAGGGAGAGGGACAGGCACACACACAGGGACAACGGAGATGAGGGAGAGGAAGAACGTGGAGAGAAAGATACAGATATGGGGTTAAATGGGGGAAAGACAGAGCCCAGAAGAGAGAGAGAGAGAAATAGTAAGAGCCCTTCAGGAACCATTCCTCACCGACGGTGGTCTGGGCTCTGCCACATCCACCACCCCCTCCCTGCCTGCCTCCTTGTACCCAGATTGTCCGTGACAATCAGAGAGCTCTGGAAGGCCTTCAGAGCATCGCCCACCAGGTGAATGAAGTCCTCCACGACACGGAGCAGGTGCACAGAGCCAGGGGACACCTGAGGACAGAGTGTGTAAGGGCCCAAGGCAGGGCGGGGCGGGGGGAGAAGCCAGAAGCTGTGCCCCACACCTGCTGAGCGTCGTCCCACTTCTCCTTGTTCTCTGCGTCCACCATGAAGCTCACCACCTGGAAGAAGCGCTGGGGAGAGAGCAACAGGTGTCAGGGGTTCCGAGCCCCCAGAGGACTCTGCCCAGCCTCTCCCTGCGGTTTGGGGCTCCACCCTCAGCCCTCCTTCCTCCTGGCAGCACAGGATGGTACCTGCACATCATCAGCCGAGGGCACATAGGTGGCCCTCTTAAAGGTGTCAGTGACATTCCTTAGAATGTCCACGGAGAAGAGCAGATCTCCGCTGTAGTAGGTGCGCCGGGCCAGCAGCTCCTGCAGGCTGCGCACCACCTGTGACATGCCCTCACCGGCCAGCATGCGCTGCCCCTTGGCCAGGTGCTCCCGAAGCTGCAGGTGACACGGGGGCTGCTGTTACTGAAGTGTCGAGAGCTGGGACCAGACCCTGGCCCATTCCACTCCAGTCCACCCACTGCTTGAATCCATGGGGAGAGAGAGGGAGAAAGGGTCAGAGATGTTCAAAGGGGCTCAGTGGGGAGACAGAGTCCAAGAAGGAGACCCATAAAGAGAGAGAGAATCCCAAAAGATACTTTAAAAGAGACTGAAATAGAAACATCTAGAGAAAAACGGTGTTCGGATATACACACAAAAGATGATAAGCACAGTGTGGGAACAGGGTACCTCCCCATCCCAAAGGGGTCACGCACATTGTGGAGTGTAATGAGCGTGTGGCATGCACACACACATACACACACACACACACACACACACACACACACACACACACTCTCTCTCTCTCTCTTTCAAACACAAGCTCTAAATGCAAAGGCACAACAAATACCCAATTACAGTCAGACCAACAAGGACACACATTTGCTGACACCACCCTCACTCCACGACAGGTACTAGGCTGGGCACTAGGGATACAAAAATAAATCCGACTTTGTCCCTGCCTTCAAGGAGGCCCCAGCCTAGCAGAGCACACAGATGCTTAGATGAGCACCTAGTGACTGAGAAGCTCAGGAGGCTGCAGGAACAGAGAGGTAGGCACCGGGATAAAAGAAGACATTTGAGAGTCAGGCGTTGAGGTATGAGTAGGAGTTTGCCAGACGAGAGAGGCACAGCCAGGCAGAAGTGGGCACAGCATATGCCAAAGCACGTGGGAGTGAGAATCAAGCTCCCTCCACCCCCAGTAGAGTCTGGGACAGATCCTGCGGTGCCCCCGCCCAGCAGGGCACACTCACTGACAGATAAAGGTAGCGGTACTCGTGGGAGATGCAGCGGGCAAAGCTGGGCAGTCCCCAGTACGCCACACCCTGGGCGCTGAGGAGACAGCGGCGGCTGGCAGACCCTGCAGGGCGACACGACAGAGAGCTGGGAAGGGGACAGAGCTCGCACCCACATTCCTCCCCGCCTCAGGATGCAAGCTCCAAGGGGCTGGGGGCCCAGAAGGGGGCAGCAGGAATGGCGGGGTGGGAGCCGCCCCCTTACCTGAGGCATTCGGGGGGCACTTGTTGTAGATGATCTCGCCAGCAGCCGCCTTTTTCCACGTCATCAGCATCACGTACTCGTCCCTGCACATCTCATGGAAGGCTGTGGGTGCAAGGGAAGGGTTCAGCCAGGACCACACGCCGGCCCCCCAGCCCCCCGGGGTCACACGGGAAGTACCTGGACACCTCTTCTCACTGCAGGACTTCACCTCCTCACCGGTGCCCTCGCAAGGGTAGCCCTGTGTACCTGTGGCCTGGCACATGCGGAAGCGGCGCTGCCAGCCCGTATCACATGTCTTGGAGCACAGGCTCCATGCGTTCCACGGCCCCCACTTGCCATCAGCAGCTGTGGGAGACGGGGGACGTGAGTGGCGCCAGCTACCCCCAGGGCCAGATCTGCCACCTGCCACCCTGGCGCCAAGCACTCACCTGGGCACTCGAGGTTGCTGCACTCCCGGGTGTCGGTGAGGGCACCCGTGCACGTGGCCCAGGCTGGGCCCGCTATGCTGCACTTCCGGCTGCGCTGCTGGGTCCCGTTGGCACAGGATGTGGAACATGGGCCCCAGGGACCCCATTCTAGCCACTGGCCTTCCACTGCATGGGGAGACACAAGCGGGGGTGGCTGTTGAGCAGGATGTGTGACCACAGGGTTGGGGGGTGAGGGCCAAGCACCACAGGGAGGCTGCGAAGCCTGCTAGAGCCAGGCCGGACCCACTGGAGCAGGGGGCTATGACGGGAGCCTGGAGTGAGCAGGCGGTGCCTGGGCCTCCTCCTGCCTGCCTGCACCAGCTAGGAACACAGGACTGCTCTCCGCTCAGCAGCAAGGCAACCGCTCTCTCTGGCTAAGGAAAGGGCTGCAGGGGTGGCCTCTGATCTTAGCTGGCACTTCAGCCCAGCTCGTGTTCCTGTCACAGTGCAGCAGGCCATGGGTACCAAGGTGCTATTAACAGCAAGGGCAGCCCAGGGCTTAGAGGAAGAGTGGCCCCCTTTGACAAGGTCACAGTGTGCCAACCCAAGTCAGGGCTGGGTGTCACCTCCCAAACTGGCAGGTATACTTCCTCCAGTCTCCCCATGCTTGGTCAAAGTTTATGGGGCCCCCAGGGCAGGGCACTGGACCTGACTGCCTCCCCTGGGTCTCCCAACCCCCACCCAGCTGGACAGCGCCCGCCTGGAAGCCCATGGGCACTACTGACCCGGGCAGGCGGCCATACTGCAGAGCTTAGTCTGCAGCTCGGGACCCTCGCAGGCCTTGCCGCCGTGCTGGGGGGGCACGCAGGTCCGCATCCGGCTCCGGGACCCGCGCCCGCAGCTGCGGGAGCACAGGCTCCAGGACCCCCACTCCTCCCACACGCCGTGCACTGCAAGGAAGCACGTGGCCGGTGGCTGGGCAGCACCTTGGCCCCACCACCGCCAGTGCCTGCCCATCCACCCGCCAATCAGGAGCTCCGCAGCTCTGCGGCCTCTCCTTATTGGCTCTGCCCTGGGTTCTGTTGCCAGGGCGATATCCCAGGACCCTGGGATGCAGCCCTTTGAGGGAATGTGGAAGACACACACAGCCTTCTGGTCCCCCCGACTCCCACGGGACGGCCCCTGTGGACACCCAGACAAGGAGACTAGGACCAACCCAGGAAGTGAACCAGGGGTCCTCCTCTCCTGGGGGCAGAAGAAAACCCAGGAAAGGACCCCAGATCCACCCCACTCCACCCCTCCCCATCCACCCCCAGACCCAGAGCCTGAATCCAACATGGCAGGTCTGGGGCAAGAGACATGCCCCTCCCAGCCCCAAGCGCATGGACAAACAAATAAACATGAACCTCTACATGGACACCAACACATCAGCTCACACGCTGGAACACAGCTCTGCCCCAGCCCTTTGCAAGCTCCTGCCACATGCCCAGGTACCGAGAGCCCTCCCCAAGCAGGCCCTACTCTAACTCCACAGCAAGAGCTGGTGTGGCCTGGGCACCATTTCACCCCCTTGGGGAGCAAGGAGCGGGCCTGGCTGAAGCTGCCCTGCCCCGCAGGTCACCTGTCCCAGGCAGGCACATGCATTTCCTCAACAACTACATGCTCAACTGAGGAAGGCTTAAGGGTCTGAGGGAGGCTCCCTGGGGAGGGGGAGCCCAGAGAAAGAAGGGGATGGTCAAGGAAGACTTCATTTAAAAAAACAAAAATGGCATTTGTCTTAGATCATAAAGGACAGGCTGGATTTGAATAGCCAAGGTTGGCGGGATGGGGTCGTGGGGCAAGAACAAGCAAATGCAGGGTGGTGGGAAAGCGCAAGGGCTGCTGGTGTGGTCAGAGCGCAGGGAACGTGGAGGACGAGGAGGGTAAGAAGACGAGCCTTGATTACCGGGATGCAGGCATCAGGGGAATGGCGTGCCCAGAACTTAGCCCAGTGGTATGGGCCCTGGTCTGATTCATCTGTGTCCCCAGTGCCTTGGGGCAAGCTGGCATGGTGTTGGGGACAGTCAGGTTCGTTGAATGAAAGGAGGAGGGAACCAACCAATTTGGAAGATTAATCTGCCCAAGTCCCAGGCAGGACCTAACCCTGCAGGCAGACGGGGCGGGGAGGAGGACGGGCATACCTGGGCAGGTGGCTGAATTGTTGCAGGGCCGGGTCTCCCGCAGGGGCCCGCTGCACAGGGTCCCATAGGGGGAGGACACGCAGGAGCGGGTCCGCACCTGCAGACCCTGCCCACACGTCAGGGAACACACGCTCCACGGGGACCACTCCTCAGCCGCTGGGTCGCCTACGAGAGAGGGACAGCGTCGGCGGCAGGGGGCACCTCCCAAGCACTCAGTCTCATAGGGGCACCGGCATGGTGGGGGCGGGCATCAGAGGGACCCTCCTACCCTGATCCCAGTGACAGGCTCTTCGGGAGGAAACCCAGCCCTGCCCACAGGCCTCAAGTGGCAGAGAGACGCGACTGAGCTCCAGGACACAGACAGACGGGCACACGCCAAGCACACATGCCACCAGACGCCACACAGTCGGGCCCTGCCGCAGAGGAAGGGAGGCTGGCCCGAGTTACCTGTCTGCGCCATGTATAACCCAGGCTCATCTGCAGACCTCGGCCACTGGGTTTTCACCTTTGGTTCCTCTTCCGGCTCCTCACCTGGAACACGGAGGTGGTGGCAGGGGCTCAGCGAAGGCCAGCTTGGTCCCGCCACAGTGGCACAGAGAGGGCAGCCTCGCTTGCCCTCAGCCTGAGGGACTGGAATCAACTGCAGGTGATGCTGAGACAGCATCGTGTCCTGCCCCCCACCCACCACCACCATTTTACAGATTAGGAAACCGAGGCTCAGAAGGTTACACAGGACTCGCCCACGGCTTCACAGCCATCTTTTCCACCTCTTGCCTCAGCCAGACAGGGGCAGACGGAGGAGGGTGGCCGCTCACGTTAGCGTGCCCTGGGGAGGCTTCTGTGCCCAGTACTGTCCACACCCGTCTCCTTTAACCCTCTCACTGGGATGCAGGGACTGCCATCTCTGCTTAGAGATGAGAAAACTGAGGGCCAGACCAGGGAAGTGTCTTGTCCATGAGCACACAGCTCAGTGAGCTTGAGGCCCAGGCTCCCTCACTCACAGGGCTGACTCCTAGGGGCTGACAAAAGAGCCAAGCTGGGCAGCTGTGACCCCCACAAGCCTGTCTCTGGGACACAATTCATGCTGGGCCAGGGGCTGAGTCCTGTGCCCAGAGTCTGCTCCCTAAGCAGCACTGGACTGTGACCTGGAGGCACGGGTCAGAATGCTGCTCCTCTGACACCCAAGGGGCCCGGGGCAGGTGCCTACCCCCAGCAGACGCTCCTCCCACTGCCCCTGCAGCCGGGAGAGCAGCAGGTGCTCCAGAGGGCCGGGCTGCCTCCACCCTGGCCTCACCAGGCTCTCGGCCACCCCAATTGATGTGTCTTGTCCGGGCCTTGGAAACCCCAGCAGCCCTGGAGGCTTCCATTCTCCAAAGCCCGCCCCTCCCACAGCGGGGCAGTGGGAGAGGGGCAGACCGGAGTGCCCATACAGAGGCTGCTGGGCAGGTGGGCCTGGAACAGCATTTGGGGACAGGCTCAGTCCATGCTGTCCCCGGACTAGAAGGTACTCCTCTCCCCAACCCCCAGGGCCTTTCCTGTTTCCGGAAGCCAGGCCAGCTCCGGAGGGACACTCTGAGTTGGAAGGGGCCTGCTGCCCAGCCCGGGCTCTGCGTCTGAGAGGAAGCTCTTCCTGAGCAGGCACGAAGGGTGGCCGCCCAGCCTAGCTCCTGCTCTCGTCAACCCGGGGCTTTTCCCTCCACTTCCACCCCGAGCCCCAGGGCCCGATCCATGTCATCCCTGAAACTTTTCCATCTCTGAAGCCTGGACCCCCAGAACAGCCCTGGAGTTGGGCAACCCTGGAGCCCAACTGGGCACGGACACTGACCAGCTGTGCAGCCTTGGGCGAGTCCCTGCGCCTCTCTGACCCCACTTCATCCTCTGAGAATGATAGTCACAACCCTCCGCCTCAAAGACTGATACGAGGTCCCCCCGACAGGAGCCCCGGAGCTCTCAGTACCGTGCTCGGCACGGCGGGTGCCTGGAGGTCAGTAACAGTCTCGTTTATTTTGATCATCTCCCCTCTCACAACCCCTGCCCCACCTGCCCCCCACACGCCACCCTCCAGCCCCTGAGCCCCTCCCTTCGAGCAGCATCTGCAATCCCTGCTGGCTCCACCTCGGACCCTGCCTCCATCAGGACCACAGAGGAGGTGCCGGTGCCACGTCTTCCAGCGCCTCGAGCCCCCCACCCCGCCTTTCCGCCACGCCCGCTCAGCCGTCCCCAGCCCTGGAGCCTTGTGACAAGCCACTTCTCCACGCCCACCCCCAGGCTGCTGAAGAAATCTGCGGCTGTGCCAACTGGCACCATGACAGATTCAGGGGCTCCACATCCGCCGGGCACCGAGGGCTTCTCAGCAGCCCTTCTTGGCCCCGTGCCTTCCTCATTCCCCGCCGTGGCCATGCTGGACCTCGTCCTCTCGCCGCAAGCCCACCTCTGCCCACTCTCTCAGCAACCACCTCCTTCACAGAGAAAGTGGGAGCTACGACACGGGGGCCCCGGCTTGTTGCCCCACCACGCCAACTCCCAACTCCCTGCAGCCCTTCTCCCCACAGAGCCCGCGCCAGGCCCTGCATCCCTCTCCTGCCCCCTTCCCAGGACGGCTCCACCCGCCGCCCTCTCCCATCAGCATCTCTCAGCATTCTCTCCTCCTGGCAGCCCAGGACCGGCCCAGGCCTCCTCCGTGCTCGGGGACCCTCCGCTCGCGCCACCACAGTGAGTGTCCTCAGCTGGCACTCTGGCTTCTCACCTGCCGCTCACTTCCTGGCTCAAATGTCACCTCGCCTGTGAATCTGCTGCACTCTGGCTTCTGCCCACATCTTTCCGCTGAGTCTGTTCTTGACAAAGTCATCAACGCCCTCCTCGTTGCTAATCCTACGGACACTTTGCAGGCCTCGGCTTGCTTGGCTCCTGAGCAGCATTCGGTCCTGTTCAGTCTTCCTGCCGTGAAACTCTCTCCTCCCCAACTCTCCTGGTTTCCTTCCACCTCTCTGGTGACTCTGTCCCCGTCTCCCTGACTGGTCTATTTGCCTGCTGCTTCCCACATCAGGCATCCATACTCTGACCTGTTTTTACTGCACACGCACCCCCAAGGCTTAATCGGCCCCCTGGGAACCAATGCTCCCAAGCCCTGATGCCAGCCCCAGTCTCTCCTGCGCGCCGCTCCTGTATGCCCTCCCTCTTGAACAGCTCCCCTGGCCATCAAACTCAGCATGTCCAAAACAGGATCATCATCTCCTCTCAAACCTCTATCTGTTTGTTCTCCCCCTTCTTTGCCTGGAAAACTCCTACTCAACCTTCAAAACCCACCTCAAATGACCTGTCATCTATGAAGACTTCTCTGTTGTCCACTCCCCAGGCAGAGTTGGCTGCTCCGTCTTCACGTACCCTTTCATCATAGACGGTTCCATCTTCTGACTGTCTGAAATGCCCCTAACTCCCCATCCTGAGCCCTTTGAGGGAACACTATATGCGAGTCATCACCCTGACCCTAGTAAATGCCAGCACAGAACCCATCCCAGAGAAATGTCAATAAATAAACACCAATGAACACGTTCCTAGCTTCCCCTTCAACAGGGTCACTGGAAATGGCCATTTGTAATCCCTGCAAGGGATCAGCTCTGCCCAGCAGCGCCAGCGGCACAGAGTTGATACGCCCACTACACTGAAGGTACCGCTGAGACGGGCTCGAGACAGGGTTCCTGGGCCTTCTACCTAGACCACCCACAAGCGTGACATCCAGCTGAGGTCCTCTCGTCCAGCGCCTGTTTTGGTGCCTCGCCCATCACCACGACTGGGGCACCCCCATCCACCAGCCTAGCATCCAATGAACACATCAAACAAGGACATGTGAGAGACCCGCCCAACCTGCTTGTCTTGGCCTCACACTGCTTCCTGTGGTCCCCACGTCCTCCGCTAACTGCTCGCCGGCCATTTGCTGGCCAGCCCCACAATGTAACTGGGGCTGGGGGCGGGTGGGGTCATCAGTGGTTTCCAGAATCCACTCTGTTTGAAAATCAGAACATGTCCCAGGTCCAGTGTTTGCACCCCTCTCCCAGACTCCTGATCTGGAACAGAGAGGGCAAGGAATGAGCCCAAGGCCACACAGCTGGGCCCTACACTGACTGCCCTCCACACCCACCCTCAGAGGGGAGGCAGCAGTTTATGTCCCACACCAGGGAAAGCCAGTCCTCCCTGAAGGGAGAAGAAGACAGATAAGACCAGAGATATCATCTGCTGAAATAAACGTTTATTCAGCACACACCACACGCAGGCCCCAGCCAGCTCTGGGCCCCAGACAGGGCAGACCCGAGAGGAGGCTGAACCAGGCAGGGTCCGAGAGGACGAGAAAGGGGCCCACTGCCACAAGAAGGGTGGTAGTGCCCCAAGACGTCCTGAGTGGCCCGCCCAGTGGGCTCAGCGCGCGCATCGGACCAGGGCTCAGATGCTTGCAGTCCTGCACTCTGTCAGCTCTCCCAGGGACTGCCAGTCGTGGGCACAGACGGACATGCTGCCTGGGACACACCTCCCCACCCAACCACCTGATGACCCTTTAACTGCTCTGTTTTGAAAAAGGCAGCATTCACTAAACAACTCCCGTGTGCCAGTCACTGCACACTGCGTCACCTTGTTTAACCCTCACTAGGCTCGGTTTCCCCCATTTTACTAATGAGAAACGAGGCTCCAAGGTCTCACAGTGGAGAGAGACTGAGGCGGGACTCGAACCCAGGCCTGCCTGATGCTGCAGGCCACGCCCTTTCCACTGAACTGCACTGGCTCTAACACAACGCGACTCAACTTGGACCTCCTTGGAGACACCTTCCCTAAGTCCTGTGGAGCCCCGAGTCTCTCACCCACCCCACCAAAGCCCCCCAGCCTTGCCTGTTACTCTGTTTTCACACCACTGTCTAATTGTTCCTTGGCACATCTGCTCCCCTCCCCCGACGTGAGCCTGCCTCCTCCGGAGCCTCCAAAGTGATCCCCTGGGATCTCGGCTCCAGCCACGCTCCCTGCAGAGGAGCCTTCAGTGGCTGTCCCTCTGCCGTAGCCACAGAGTAAACCTCTGAGCCTGGCATGCTCCGGCCCCTGCTGACCTGTCCAATCCTGTTCTCATCCCACTGGGCGGCCAAGCACACCGCAAGGGCATGTGAACTGGTGGGAAGGGCACGGAGTCAGGGCCAGACAGACGTGGGCTGGATTCCCAGCTCTGCCACCATCTTGCTGTGTGCCCTTGGGCAAGTCACCTCATCTCTCTGAGCCTTAGATTCTTTAGCTGAAAGTAAGAATGATGCTTCCTACCACAGAGGTTCTTTGGGAGAATTAAATGAAACCAGAGACGCGGACTACTCGGAGTATGATAAGCTTTCAACGGAAAGGAGAGCTTAGCCCTTTTTGTTAACCCTTGAACATGCAAATGCTCTCCTCTCTCCATGCAGCTGCCAATGCTGTTCCCCGCCTTTGGAATACCCTTCCTTCTCAATCTGCCAAAATCTTCCACATGTCAGATGCCACCTCCTCCAGGAAGCCTTCGTAGG